TTATATCTTTATGTTTGAAGCCTGAAATGTGGCAAAAGGTCGCAAAGTTCAAGGGGGCCGAATACTTTCGCAAGGCATGGTATGTTGAACTTATTAAGATGTGAACATTTTCCCATTGGTCCCCATAAATTAGGTAAAACAAGTAGGGCTGTGTGTGTATAGGGGCTGTGTGTGTGTAGGTGTGTGTGTGTGTGTGGGAGAGAGAGAGAGAGAGAGAGAAGTCCTACACCCTGAGGACTACTAGAGTGTGGCTCTTGAAGTGAAGCATAAAGTGTAAATGGTAATTATGCAAAAACCATAATAGATATCAAAAAGCTGTTTAAATTACCAACAGCTGAAGAGTTACTGAATAGATAACAGTTGAAATCGTGTTTTTAGCTAAAAGTATGCTGAAGATATTAAGATGTGAAAAATTTTCCCATTGATTTGAATGGGGCAAAATTTGCTGGAAAAAACAAAAAAAACAAACAAACAAAAAAAAGCTTAAAAAGTATAAATGTTACAAACAAGAAAAATACAATCAAGCACATCCTTAAAAAGATGAACATTTTGATACCTGAATGGCCTTTCTAGTTGAAAGTATGCTGGAGTTAGTATGTGCTGAAAAACAGATGGAAGAAACCAGAATAATAGAGAATAGTATAACATACTGTGGATGCATTATTGCATCCACACAAATAGGATAACATGGTGTGGATGCTGTGAAGCAACTATACCTGCTAATATGCACCAAGGTTTCATGTCAAAAAAGCTAAGAGTAAACAACTAGAGTGCCATTATGCATCCATAAAGGAAAGGAGTTTCTTTCAAGTTAGACAAAAGGTTCTTTGGAGTGTTTTCTTTTGCTAAACTAAATACAGGAAGGTTAGAGGGTGCTAGCAATCAGTGGTTCATCACTTGAGGAAGAAGGAAGTTTCTGTGTGGGTTCATCGTCTTAAGGAGATGGAGATGGAGGACTGAAAAGGAGGAGAGACGAGAGGTTCGAGGTTATTTGGCAGTTCCTGTCTCTGGACTTCCAGAGGCGAGGTGGAAGAGAGGTGTTCCAGAAGTAATTTTCCTATTTATGTTAGATAAATCTGGATGGTAAGGGTATTTAAAATAATTTGCAAAAAATACAGATTCTTTTGCATTGTGCTGTAAGACAGAGGTGGTGCTAGCAAATCTAGCACTGGTGAGTCTTGATGGCACAAGTATGAAAATATTAGTCTGGAGCCCTGTATAGTGCTATTCATCTGACCTGTCCCTTCTGCACTAGCTCACCCACAGCAGCAGCATGTTGGCTGCTGCCCTCCTCCTACATCTGTCTCTTCCTGACCCTCTCTTGCTGCTTCAGCAGCACTGGTTGAAGCCAATAAATATCCAAAATTAATCAACTGGCTCGCTAACCACACTGATCTGCTTTCCCACATGTGTTTTTCCACTGGACTGAGGGGGGAAACATTCAGCATTCTTTATCCACTTGCAGAGCAGTCCATATACATCCATGCTATACACAGTGTGCTGACCACAACAAGAGCTGTATTCTCTTGTAAGCTTAGCCAGCCTTACTAGCTTGTTAATAACTTATTACAAGAGTTGGGTGTCTGTGACTGACAGTATTGTATAAAAAAAAAAAAACAGACTAGGAGCTGTTCACAGGTGGTCATCATCATGGTTGTCATGTGTTTGTGTGCGTGTGAGAGAAATAGAGCAGGGCACAGAGGGACTGAGCAAATATATGTGCTACACATGGTACTACATTAAAATAAGATTTAACCTGTTTTAAATCAATATGTGTCAGTCAATGTTGATATTGTAGTGGCCCGCCTTTGACATGTGGACTGCAGGCATCACAAACTGAACCTCCAATGTTCCAGTTGGGGAAACAGCATCTCTATCTCATCTTTATTTGCTGTTCGAACAGACTAATGTTTACACTAACAAAGTTTTCATCAGAATAATAGTTGTCTGAACATAATATACAATCTATAAGCTATGTAATGTAAGCGATGTAATGCATATTTTCATATTCAACCATAACAGAGTTGAGCTATGAATAGCAGTAAACAGTCATGTTTTAATACTGATGCCTTACCTTAATCTTCTTGTAGTCACAGAGGAATTCCACCTCATATTCATTGATGTTTGCTCTATTCACTCCAAGCTGTTTACAGTGGAGCCTCTTTTTGCGACAAAGGGCTTCCAGCTCATGACAGGACATCTTACAGGGCACCCTGCAATCTGACACAGTACCGTCCTTTAAGTTTGTGTCAAATACACTAATACTACAGCAAGCTCAACTGAAGTCATTCAGTTTAAAATAGCCTGATCACTGTTGAAAGTGCAATAAAATGTAACACAACTTTAATAGTTATTAACATTGGTTGCACACTTATAACAGTAACGAGTAACAGTTTTTAGGATTGGAATCGCTGCAAGCATACCCCTTACGAAAACATCAAATATTAGCAGACAATGCGTACAAAGCCATTTACACATGTACGTGAGACAGCATGGCGCGTGAAGTTCACAGAATATAGTTTTGCCCGCTAAACCATAGCAGTCTGCTCCTACATTTGAAACTGACTTCAAAATCCAATCATCCGAAATTGAACAGCCCACATATAAGTTTCATAAATGTTACTCATAATGACAAGTTGAGAACATCTTCACAGAAGAGGCTACATTAACGTTAACCTGCACAAGCATCAAACTACTCTGGACAAGTAATTTGGCTTCTTGTGGACGTCATACAATCTCCTCGCTTTCTTGTTTGATGAACGCACTAGAGTGCATATTCGATGTCTTTAAAGAGGCTGCGCCTAGACTAAATCAAATAACAACCGTAAAGAAATGTAGAGTGTAATTTTAAAAAGCTATATATTGTCCTCATGAATTACCTTTCAAATCTTCCGCCATATTTTCCGCACAGCCGCCAAAATTGGTGAAACGACGCTGGTGGGAAAGATCCTGCTGCAAAGAAACTTTTAGTGAGTGCTGATTGGATGAGCATCATATATCGGTCCTGTCATTGGATCAGATGCACGCAAGGCGGGTCGTAGTCTTCTTCTGCTTAAATTGTGGACTACAGACCAACTTAAAAGGTGTATACCGCCACCTATTGCACCGGGATGTTTAACAGCCTTCATCTATGAGAGGATTGCTGTATATTCTACACATAAACCCTGGATCCTTTAAATGTTTTTCTCTGTACGAATGGTTGGTTATCCCCTATCTCTCCATATTTTATGGACAATGATACACCGGCCAACAGATTTGAGGATGTAGTTGAGAAGTTTAATAGGTTTTTTGTGAATGTGGGTCCTGGCTTAGCAAGTACCATTTGTACAGACGTCAATATAAATAACAATACAATTGAAAGGAATATGTGTTCTATGTTTCTGAAGCCAATTGTTGAAAAGGAAATTATAGATATAGTGAACAAATGTGGTAATAAATCATCCAGTGATAGTGATGGTATCAGTATGACAATGGTTAAATGGGCAAT